GCCTGGAGAATCCCATGGACAGAGGAGCCTGGTGAACTGTGGTCCATAGGGGCCCAAACAGTCGGATGTGACAAGCGACTTAGCACACAGTTTGGCCAGGTCACACAACTCCCTCGGAGGGGCAGTTCATAAAGAACAGACCTGGAATTGGAACCCAGATCATCTAGACTCCCAAGCCCTTGCTCAGTTCATAGTCCTGCACCAACAAGGTTGGTTTTCTTCCATGACCTACTAAGGATGCAGAGCTGAAGATGGTTGGCTCAGGAAAAGTGACAGGAGTAGAGTCACAATGATAATGTGGGAGGAGATGTGTATATGGTGTGTGTGAGAGAGACAGAAAGAGACACAGAGAAGAAGACTAAGAGGAGGAGAAGTAAGAAGAAAGGGCAGCATGCAAAATGCTTGCACAGCTTCCCAAAGTATTTCTGCCTCCATGTGGCCACTTTACAAGGCATTTCTGGTTGTTATCATAATTAGCCCTTTCTAGACCAGTGCTTGCTTACCGCCAGCAATGATGGAGACATATACCCCTCCTCCTGGGGGACAGTTAAGGCAGCTTCTGCAGCTCAGCAACAAGCTGGTCTGCAAGTCAGGAGTCGGCATTTAATGCACAATTTCAGGCCTGCATCCCACCTTGGTCCCATCATGACTTTGGGCTAGTTTATGAACTTTTCCATTTTCAGTTTGCTAATCTGCAAGTCGGACATAGTAACACCTGTGTCAAAGGGTGACCATGTTCAAGGAGATATCGATGCTTAACTTAATGCCTGCCACTAAAACTGCACTCAGCAGAGAGTGTCCATTTTTATCCCAGCAGCTGAAGACCCTTGTCAGAATTAGGCAAGGAGGTCTGTACTCCGCCTGTACAGTGGTCGTCTCCCACTCCTGCCATATTCTGCAGTTCAGAAGAGCACTGGCCTGGATGTTTGGAGATTGAGCTCTTCTCTGGCCCCACTGCTGACTTGTTGTGTGACTTTGGGTGAGATCCTCCCCTCTCTGAGCTTCAGGTACTCCCCTCTACAAAATTAGGAGGTTGTACAGATGGAATTCTAACCCAGGGCATAGAAAGAAGACTCTGCTATTCACTTGGGGCTGCTCTAGTGATGATGGGAGAGAATGGAGGAGCAAGACATAGAAGATGGTCTCAGAGTAAATGCTTTTAATTAATTGGGGATTTTTCCCCCATGAAAGCTCTTTATTATTTCCAAAGAGTCTGAAGTTTGGGCAAACCTGTCCTACACAGTAGGGTTGCCTGTAGCCCCACAGATGGGTTCTCTGGTCTCCTGCTCTGCTTCATCTTTCTTCCACATAGAGAGAGTTCATCATCCCCGAATATGTAGAATCTATTTCCAACTTAAACAGCTCCTTTATGCTTTCAGTGTTGGAGAAAGAAATAACAAAGAACCAAAAGTGGGGTGCCAGAGTATACCCCATGGTGCTGGGTTGGAGCTGGAGACATCAGCATAAACCCTCATTTAGTTTAATCAACATACACATGGGTAGAGATGCATGTATATGTAGATTAGAAGACATAGATACTGCCCACTGAAAGGGCCCAGAAACAATGACATTCCAAGACTAATAAGCACAACTTAAGTGCCCAGGGCTTGGTTTTTATATGCCATTCTCCAATAGAAGAAATTGGGATTCCTTGAAGACATACAAGGTAAGCCTGGAGTATCATGCAGTGGCAAAAGGTGTTCAAAACTAAGCCAAAAATGGATGGAGAATGTCAAAAGGACACAGGAATCAAACTGAAAAGAACACCCAGTGCCCAAGGCTAGAATGATTTGAGGCACAACAACAACAAAATAGCAATTATATTGAATTGTACACAAAAATTAAACTGTATTGTATTGAACACAAAGAATAAAATAAATACCCATGAGTCCATATTGTGATAAATGATTGATTGAATAAATAAACAAGTTTCGGTGGAAGGGTCAATTTTCTTTACAGACCATTTCCAATAATAAGTATAAAGGAAATGAGAGAAGCAGCAAATCACCATGAGAACAGCACAATAATAATTGCCTCAGGCCAGAGTCATTGCTGAAGGCTAAAATTAATGGACGAAACCTTAAGGAAAGACAAGATATTTTGCATAGGCTCAAACCACCTTCCCCTAGTTATGTACAAATTGCCGTGGTGGTTTTAACATATGTCCTAAATTCTTTGATACTCCTCTTTCTAGAGGAGAAACGCAATTCCCTGCTAACCCTTGAGTGTAGGTTAGACTTAGTGACTAATTCATTTCTGGTGACTAGAGTATTGGGGTAAAAAAACAGCAACTTGCAATAGAGAAACCTGCCAGACACCACCTTATCTAAGTGTTCCAGGTTAGCATCACCTGGGATAAGTCATGTTGACACAATGTACCCACAGATAGGATGTGATGAAATGGCACATCATTTACGTGTATCCTTTTCTCAAATCCATAACCTCAGTCTAATCTTTAGAGAAACATCAGACAAACACAAACTGAAAAATATTCTGCAAAATACTCCATCAATATCAAGATCAAAGTTAAGAAAGGCAAAGAAATAAAGAGGAACCGTCACAGATTGGAGGAGACTAAGGAGTCTGCATCATAGATTGAATCCTGGAGCAGGAAGGACATAGGCTGGAAAACTAGAAATTTGAGTCACATCTATAGTCCAGTTAATAGTAATGGACCAGTGTTAATTTCTTGACAGACGTATTTTGGTTATGTAACATCAGGGGAAGCTAGGTGAAGATTGTGTGGGAATCCGTATCATGTTTGCAACTCTTCTATAAACCTAAAATCGATCCATAACAAAAAGTAAAAACAAAAACAAAGATACCCTCCCCCCCACCCCAAAAAAAAACCCTTTAGAGTGTAAAGTCTTCCAGGGAAAAGGTCATAATGTATACTTTCTCTCTGTCTTCTCCGAGTTTCTGGAAGTGTCAAATATTCTCAAGGAATTCTTATGGAGAAAAGCTCTTTGGGAGCACAGTGTGTGGGTGTTAGTTGCTCAGTCATGTCTGACCCTTTGCAACCCCATAGACTGTATCCCACCAGGCTCCTCTGTCCATGGGACTCTCCAGGCAAGAATACTGGAGTGGGTTGCCATTTCCCTCTCCAGGGAATCTTCCTGACCCAGAGACTGAACGCAGGTCTCCTGCATTGCAGGCAGATTATTTACCATCTGAGCTACAGGGAAGTCCCTAGTGTGTCCTAATCCCATCTGTATCCTCAGTGTTAACTAGTGGTGGAACATAATAGATGACTATGTCTCTGGGAGCCTGGAGAATGGTGGGGCAGTTGGGCAAGTCAGGCTTCCCAGGGATTGACTCTGTATACCTTAGGAAGTTCACAGTTCACTTCATCTCTGAGTCATATTCTCCATCTAGGAAATAGGGACAAAAATACTGTTTACCTTATAGGGTTTTGAGGATTAAATGAGACAATGGATTGTGGGGAAGAGCTTTATAAATTGCAAAGCCCTATGTAAATATTCATCATTATGTTGACACACAGATGCTGATCAATCAGAAGTTCCACCTGAAAGGATCGGTGTTTCCCCAGCTCTCCACCTATGACACACCACCTATGCACAGAGTCAAGGGTGCAGCCTTCCTTCCAGTTCTCACCTAATTCAGCCACTTGTTCGTACACATCCTGGATAAGTTAAGCACATGAAAAAGTTCAGTCCTCTTTTCCTAATATGGCAAGTTCCATCTTTATTCTCTGCTTGCTTCTGTTCATGTGCTGGCAAAGAGAAATCAGGAAATCCTAATTGTTCTACAGCATCTAAGGCTTCTTTTCCTTAATACTATACAACTCTACAAAGTTGCAATATGGTTAGATGATAATAACAATGAGAGCCATTCATGGTGGGGTCCTAAGGGTTATATGTGAATTAGTTGAATATTTCTAAGATTTTCACCATTTTGCACTGTTCTCCTAATTTCTTCCAGATATAAGTATTATCTTCAATCTGCTTTACTACAATTCACTGTAGATCCAGTGAGCTCTGGAAGTCTGCATTAGTTTATTTTATTCTATACCCTGGGATGTCCTGCTGCCCTAAACAGGATAACATACTCCAGGCAGCTATTTAATCAAGGGATCACACTTCAGAGACAGCATTTCAGTTATATTTCACTCCATTTAATGTCAAACATTTTGTTAATTAGCAAAATAGATGTTAAAAGTAGGTTTCAATGAATTATTTTAAAGATATGTGTGTTGGCTAAAATATTATGGAGACCATGGTCACTTCTGCATGAATAGTACACAAGAATCTAGTGGGCTTTTTACTCTCCACTCTTTGGAAATGTGGATGAGGCTTCATTCTACAATACTCTGAGTTCAGCTACTCATGTAGAAGGGCTTCCCAGGTGGTGAATGGGATAAAGAATCCACACAAGAGATGTGGGTACTATCCCTGGGTTGGGAAGAGCCCCTAGAGTAGGAAATGGCAACCCACTCCAGTATTCCTGCCTGGAAAATTCCAAGGACAGAGGAGCCTGGCAGGCTACAGTCCATGAGTTTGCAGAGTCAGACACAACTGAGCGAATGAGCATGTATAGTGACGTAGAACATTCTGATTGCTCATGTGGAAGCCATGAAAATGGGCTTCTCAGATCACTGACTGCATGAGCCTAAAAGCCCTCACCCCTGGGCTCTGAAATCCATTACTTACATTAGCACCAGAGCCATGTTCCCACCAGCTGCCCCCAGCCCACGACTGCCTGCACCAGGTACTAAGACACACACTAGGATAGGTTGGCTGTGAGGAGAAGACAGAGGACTCCCCCGATGAGCAGCACTGGCTCAGGACTCTCAACAACTCCACCAAACTTCCCCTGGGACTGCTCTGAAGTCTAAGACACTTCCACCCAACTTTCCTTCCTTCCTTTTTCTCTTCTTCATTCGGGGGCATACAAGCCTTCCTGGGATCCCCCAGCTCCTTCTTCATTTTCTCTCACGTGTTTAAATTTCCCTAATAAATTTCTCACACATACAGATTTGTGTCGGCATCTCAGAGGACCCAGAACAGCACGCGTGGCACTGAGAGTGGTCCAAAGAAACTGACAGTAAAATGGGGAGTTGAAATGAGCTCATCTCCCACACAGCCAAGGAGGGGGACACAGTCGTGGCTGACAGGTGAGGCACGGGTGGTCTCTGGACTCAGGTGGTGGCCTCACAGAGAAGATTTCACCAGTGGTGACCTGGGGAAATGTCCTGGTGATAGGAAATGCTGTGGCACGTTCAATGATGTAAACAGATGAAAAATAGGGGGGTATAGTGCCTGAAAGACCAGGAAGTTGGCTGGTTACTCCTAAGTTGTATTAACACCCCAGATAAAGATACCGAGAGATGGCATTTAATAAGCAGATAGTGTCCAAGTAGCAGGGTCATCAGCTTGTAGAGAGGCCTGTTACCACCTGTGACCGAAGGGCAACCCCAGCTGAAGAACATGCTGAAGTCCTACCTGTGAGACTGGCAGAGCTCCAGAGATGTTTTGAATGCCTGGGCTGTGATGTGAAGGACAGTGTCCTGGTGTGAAAACCCAGGACCCTGAAGTATGGGACAGAGACATCTGGATGGGCCCCCTGAATGTGTTGACTCTAATCACTTCTAAGCCAGTACCTATGGTTAGATCTCCACATAACCCAGCTGGAGGTGTGTTGGCTCTAGTAAGAGAGGAAGGAGACCACACGCTTAAAGAGTTGCAAGAATGAGCTGTTAAACGTCAATAAGAGCCAAGGGACGACTGCTGGGGTTGGATTTTGAGGATGCTTGATGAAGAAAGTAAAAAACTAAGAATTCATTGACTCAGGGGAGCGTTTAGGGGACACGGGACTTAACATTCCAGGAAGGACACCAGGATGGGGCAAACACATCATAGGCTGTTAGAAGCCTGGAAAAACAGATGGGCAGCTGCCAGGGAAATGAAACAGCCTGAAGCGTTCCCAGCAAATGGAAGAGGAAGTAGAGAGGCAGAGAAAGGAAACACACTATAATTAATATAACATATAAGGCCATAATCTCCACCTGAAGACACATAGTTCCCCAAGGCCACCAGGAACACACTGGTGAGAGGAGCACAGGATTGCTAAGTTCAGAGGTGGCCTCCTCTGCAGGCCATGCATAATGGCCAGAGACCATCAGAGAGATGGGCTCTTTAACTGCCCTGGGTGATGGTGCCTCACCCACCCACCCATCCACGCAAAATAAGGAGGTCAGGTGGTGGTGCTTAACCACCAGAAACCAGGAGACCACAATTGCTGAAATGACCAGCAAGGTCAGGGGGGCAACCAGGAGAGACTGACCCAGAGGAAGCTGAGGAGATAGTTAATAGCACATGATGTCCACAGGGGCAAAATAAATGGACAGTTAACAAGGATGATGCTTAACATCTATTACAAAGAAAAACAAACATGGAGGGCAAAGTACATCATGAGAAACGCTGGGCTGGAAGAAGCACAAGCTGGAATCAAGATTGCCGGGAGAAATATCAATAACCTCAGATATGCAGATGACACCACTCTTATGGCAGAAAGTGAAGAAGAACTAAAGAGGCTCTTGATAAAAGTGAAAGAGGAGAGTGAAAAGGCTGCGTTAAAGCTCAACATCCAGAAAACTAAGATCATGGCATCCGGTCCCATCACATCATGGCAAATAGATGGGGAAAGAGTGGAAACAGTGTCAGACTTTATTTTGGGGGGCTCCAAAATCACTGCAGATGGTGACTGCAGCCATGAAATTAAAAGATGCTTACTCCTTGGAAGGAAAGTTATGACCAACCTAGATAGCATATTAAAAAGCAGAGACATGACTTTGCCAACAAAGGTCCATCTAGTCAAGGCTATGGTTTTTCCAGTGCTCATGTATGGATGTGAGTGTTGGGCTTGAAGAAAGCTGAGTGCCGAAAAATTGATGCTTTTGAAATGTGGTGTTGGAGAAGACTCTTGAGAGTCCCTTGGACTGCAAGGAGATCCAACCAGTCCATCCTAAAGGAGATCAGTCCTGGGTATTCATTGGAAGGACTGATGCTGAAGCTGAAACTCCAATACTTTGGCCACCTGATGCAAAGAGTTGACTTATTTGAAAAGACCCTGATGCTGGGAGGGATTGGGGGCAGGAAGAGAAGGGCACGACAGAGGATGAGATAGCTGGATGGCATCACTGACTCGATGGGCATGAGTTTGAGTGAACTCCAGGAGTTGGTGATGGACAGGGAGGCCTGGCATGCTGTGATTCACGGGGTCGCAAAGAGTCGCACACGACTGAGTGACTGAACTGGACTGAACTGAGGAGGTTCATGATCTTTGTTCAGTTTCATACCTGAGCCCTTTTTCAGATCCAGAGCTCATTGGTGCAGAGATGGCTGTAATCTTGGAAGAAGAACCCTGGAGGACCATGAAAAACACATACAGTGACGCTCTCCTCAGTCCCTTCTTAAATGGACCTATGACTATGCATATGGGTGACCATTCTGGGGAAAACTGGAATATCAGGATTTGTAGGATTATTGATTACAGGGTCTGAGTAACATCAATATCCAGAGGTCCAAAGCACCATCACAGCCCCCTGTTATAGTGGGGGCTATATGGCCCCACCTATGGGTGGGGCCTCTTGTACTGGCCATGTGACCAGCATAGCCATACTCAAAAGGGCCTGCACACTCTGGGATTGCTGCTTTGACACTCTTAATTTTATCTTTGAATTTGTTTCATAAGTGATGTCTAATGACACGGGGGAAACCAGCATGACCCTCACCCACCACTGCCTTCCCAGGACAAGTTCTCTGTCACCTGCCGCTTGTCCTCCAGGGCCCACCCAGACTCCTTCTCCATGTCCTGCAATCACTGCTGTCCTCCAACCTGGGAGAGACCTGGACACAGGCAGAGGAAGGGTCAGCTCACAGCATCACAGAGCATCTCAGAGAAGGGCATGGAAGCAGCCATCCTGCCTTGGGCTGGCAATACCACAGTATACCTGGTGGGTGACAGGCCAAAGGTGTGTCTTGCTCACCCCTGATCTTGGTATCAAGCATGTTGCCTGTCCTGGGGCAGAGGTTTAAAGATCCTTGGGGGTGGCCCCTGTGCCATGAGCTGGGATGGTGGGTCTTGGGATGTGAAGACACCCAGCTCGACATCCTCATGTGGTGAGCTGGTCCTAGTCGCTCAGTCATGTCCCCATCGACTATATCCCCCTAGGCTCCCCTGTTCATGGGATTCTCCAGGCAAGAATACTGGAGTGGGTTGTCATGCCCTCCTCAAGCGGATCTTCCTACCCAGGGATCAAACCCAGGTCTCCTGCCTTGCAGGCAGATTCTTTACCATCTGAGGCACCAGGGAAGCCCCAACCTTCTCATACTCTGTTCCTTATCAGACATGGTGCAGTCCAGTGGCTGGTGAGAGGAGCCCTTGCGGCCACCAGGTCAGCATGCCCTACTTTGAAGGCTGGCTTGTACTCACACTGCAAGTATCTCCACACCCAAAAGCTTGTATTGTCTGGCTCTGTGTCTGCAGGGATCCTTTTTTCTCATTCTAACCTTCCTGAGTCTGGCTTATATTTGTCTCTTGTAGACATCTTGAGGCACCCTTAGAGACAAGCTATGAAATACAGATAAGTAGTTTTGGTGATTCTGTCTACAAGTTTACTCTGATATTTACACTGAAAGCTGGCACGGTGGATGATAAAATTAATGCTAATCATTTCAAATTTTTATTTGTACCTTAAATAGCAAATAAAAACACCATGACAAATTGAGACAACACACAGAAGAAGGGAAAATCTTTATGTGTATCATGAATGACAATTTTTTCCTCACTTTTGGAACAAGGGGCCCTGCATTTTCATTTTTATTTGGCTCTGCATATGATGTAGCCTGCCATGCCTATAGGAGACAGGTAATAAATGAAATTCTGTCTAACATCTGACTCATAGTAAGCCCAGCAGGCCCCTGGACTGACCCAGTGGTCATTTTCTCAGTTCATGAGTATATAATTGTGTGTGCTCAGTTGCTCAGTTGTGTCCAACTCTTTGTGACCCCTTGGACAGTAGCCCACCAGGCTCCATGGAGTTTTCCAGGCAGGGATATTGGAGCAGGTTGCCATTTTCTCCTCCAGGGGATCTTCGTAACGTAGGGATTGAACCTGAGTCTCTTGCGACTCCTGCATTGGCAGGTAGATTCTTTACCACTGCACTGCCCGGGAAGCCTGAGTATATAATTGGAATTTATATATTAGGCAATTGGAATAATCCCACATCAGATCCCTGGATTGTGATCAAGGGCTACCATGGCAGGAAGGCAAAAGGAATTACTCTGAAACTGTTCCCCACCTCAGCCAAGATAGTAAACCAAAAGCAATCACATCCTGGGGGAGTGGAGGATTAGTCTCCCCATTAAACATTTAAAAATTGCAGAAGTGGTGGTCCCGTGTAATTCACCAGTCTAGACCCTGCAGAACAGACCCTGCAGAAAGCAGATCGATTCTGAAGAGTACTGCAGACTGCATAAGTAGCAGCCCTGAGTGAAGCAGCTATGCCAGATGAGGCCTTCCTGCCAGAACTGGCTGATAAGACCTCAGGGATACGTTATATCACCATTGGTTTGCTGAATGCATTTTTTTCCTTTCAACTTAAAAAGAGAATCAGAAACAATCTGCATTCTTATGGGACAGTATTAATTTTTCTCAGGACTATGTGAATTCTCCTGTGCCTAGTCAGTTAGTCATGTCCAACTCTACAGTCCAACCCCATGGACTATAGCCCACTAGGCTCCTCTGTCCATGGGATTTTCCGGGCAAGAATACTGGAGTGGGTTGCCATTTCTTTCTCCAGGGAATCTTCCTGACCAAGGGATCAAACCTGAATCTCTGGCATCTCCTGCATTGGCAGGCAGATTCTTTACCACTAGCACCCACCGCCTGGGAACTCTCCTGGCCTCCATTCTAATGTAACCTCAGAGATGGACACTGATCCATTACATCCATCCTATCATGTTGATTGGATATGATGGGCAAGCAGTGGCCAGTAGGGTAGAGACCTTGGTAAGACACATATGCTTCAAAGGGGAGGAAATCAACCCTACAAAGATTCAGGGTTCTGTCACTTCAGTGAAGTTGATAGACATCTAGTGGTCCAGGGCATGCTGGGGATAGCCCCTCCAAAGTGAAAGGCAAATTGTTGCATTTTGTATCTAATACTACTACTGTTCAGAAGTGGTGGTGATGTCTAATTGACCCTGTATGTAGGCATCCTTCCCTCAAGACCTGAGGTCAAGAGCTGAATCATCTGATGCTGGTGAGTTGCTCATGGTCTTGGGCAGAACTTCCCTATCAACAAGGTATCTACTGGGTTGGGCAAAAAGTTTGTTCAGCTAATCGAATGTGTTCTTCCAAAAGGTTCTTCATGAAAATGAAAAGTGTGAAATTAAATGAAAAAATCTGAAACTGAAAGAACTTTTTTGGACAATATTTTGGTGAGTAGCTGGACCTGGGGTTTTCATTCATAAGCAGCAGGATCTAGGTTCTGACCCTCATTTTATTTAACCTAGGATGCTGCCCTGCATGTATTATAGTGTAGGAGAGATGCTGGGAAACCCTGTTCTAGTTATTTGGTGAGGAAAAAGGAAAAATCTTTCTTTTTGGAGACAAAGCCATGCTCCTATTCCAATATGAAAAGAACTCTCTGACATTAGATAGCTAAAAAAATGCCCACTCTTTTACTAAAGTGGAAGTGTTAGTTGCTCAGTCATGTCTGACTCTTTGTGACCCTATGGACTTGGAGCCCACCAGGATCTTCTGTCCATGGGATTCTTCAGGTGAGAATACTTGAGTGGGCTGTCATGCCCTTCTCCAGGGGATCTTCCCAACCCAGGTATTGAACCTGGGTCTCCTATATTGCAAGTAGATTCTTTACCTTCTGCTTTTATTTTTTTAAACACCTATTATGTGCTCACTGTTTGGTCTACGTAACCCAGGTCTCTCTGATTGATACATGCTGGGAATGGTTAAACCATCTCCTGAATAATTTGGACTATCATGGGCATGATGTTTCTCGTTAATCATAAAGAATAAATCTTTAATTTTCTTAAATGTTCCATTTATACAAGAGCTGATATTTGTGTATCTCACTGTAGTTTTTCATTTATTTGTTTTTAGTTGAGCCTAGTATCTCATTTAATCTTTTGAAAATGATAGGAATCATACTTTCCCTGTGGAAGATAATGGTTCCCAGAAAAGCCAAGCACCAAACTAAAGATATACAACATATAAAAGATAGGCTTGGGTCCCTCTTATCTCTTGTCCAGTCTCTTACACTACACCATACTGTCTTCTAAAAATTTGGCCACAAAGCAAATGCATTAGTGACCATATCTTTATTAGAAAATCCTCAACCAAAAATTGATTCAGGTAAGCGTATTAGTAATTATCATTTTAATTCTCCCCCTTGAGAAACCTGTATGCAGATCAGGAAGCAACAGGTAGAACTGGACATGGAACAATAGACTGGTTCCAAATAGGAAAAGGAGTACATCAAGGCTGTATATTGCCACCCTGCTTATTTAACTTATATGCAGAGTACATCATGAGAAACGCTGGGCTGGAAGAAGCACAAGCTGGAATCAAGATTGCCTGGAGAAATATCAATAACCTCAGATATGCAGATGACACCACTCTTTTGGCAGAAAGTGAAGAAGAACTAAAGAGGCTCTTGATAAAAGTGAAAGAGGAGAGTGAAAAGGCTGCGTTAAAGCTCAACATCCAGAAAACTAAGATCATGGCATCCAGTCCCATCACATCATGGCAAATAGATGGGGAAAGAGTGGAAACAGTGTCAGACTTTATTTTGGGGGGCTCCAAAATCACTGCAGATGGTGACTGCAGCCATGAAATTAAAAGATGCTTACTCCTTGGAAGGAAAGTTATGACCAACCTAGATAGCATATTAAAAAGCAGAGACATTACTTTTTCAAAAATGGTCCATCTAGTCAAGGCTATGGTTTTTCCAATGGTCATGTATGGATGTGAGAGTTGGACTATAAAGAAAGCTGAGCACTGAAGAATTGATGTTTTTGAACTGTGGTGTTGGAGAAGACTTCAGAGTCCCTTGGACTGCAAGGGGATCCAACCAGTCCATCCTAAAGGAGATCAGTCTTGGGTGTTCACTAGAGGGACTGATGTTGAAGCTGAAACTCCAATACTTTGGCAACCTGATGTGAAGAGCTGACTCATTTGAAAAGACCCTGATGCTGGGAAAGATTGAGGGCAGGAGGATAAGGGGACAACAGAGGATGAAATGGTTGGATGGCATCACCAACTCAATGGACATGGGTTTGGGTGGACTCCGGCAGTTGGTAATTGACAGGGAGGCCTGGTGTGCTGCGGTTCATGGGGTTGCAAAGAGTTGGACAGGACTGAGTGACTGAACTGAACTGAACTGAGTGAATTAAGTTTCATCCATTCATTTAACAAATATTTGATGCTATAGGAGAAAAATCTTAACTAGAATAGTGTATCTGTCCTCAAGGATTTTCAGTCTACCATGGGAGACAAAAAATTACAGCATGTAGGAAGTGTTATTCTAGGAGTGGCATAAGATGCCAGCGGAAAGAAGAGCCATCCTAGTTCATCAGGGGAAGGGAAAGGAGGGAAGGGAAGTTAGTGAGGGTTGTGGGAGGGGATGACAGGGCCAGCGGTGTGTTCCAGGAAGACGGCACAACCTAGAAAAGTCCAGAGGCTAGAAAGAGCTGAGTTCATTAAAGAATATTGCCTTTGTAAGTGCATCAAGACTCCCTCATGAGAGGAGGAATGGGCAGAAGGGAAGGGATTGAAGAGAGGGACCCAGCCATCCTGAATACTTTGAATGCAATCCTGAGGGCAGCTGGGGAACCTGTGTCTCAGGAGTTGCACTTAAACCAGCAGCAAAGCCAGAGCTTGCCTCTGGCTGTCTCATCTGCATGCTTGTGGAGGCAGAAGGTAAATTTAAACTGTCCCCTCTCGTGGATGCCTCTGGACTAAGAGGATTCTGCTCTAGACGGCCAGGACAAATTAGTCCTATGTCTACTACTGAAGAAAATTCTTATCTTCTTTGGGTTCCATGAGATCACTTTGATGTCACAGGGCATTTTTCAGGGAAAATATATGCCAAACTTTCCTCCCAATAACTAAGTAATGCCCCCACAGAGAAATTAAGGAGGAGAAAGCCCCTGTTTGGAAAGCCCCAGGTGACCAAATTTCTAGTTCTCTGTGTTTTCATTCTCCCTCTGTTATCTCTGTGAAGATCCCTTGCTGATGTCACCATGAACTCGAGATACCCACCTGAGAAGACAACACCCAGAAACCCGCTCCTCCACGTGATCAGCCCAAACGCATTACCTCGTCACCTACCACACTGAGGGGCTGCAATGACTTTGAACTGAAGAAAAAACCAGATCCTTTCCCCAAAAGGCTCCTATTCATGATCAGGACAGCTGAGCATGACTTTTGGCAGATGGTCAGATTAAATACTTTACATCATTAACAATGGTTCTCCTTTGGGGGTCGATTACCAGGGCACTTCCACATCAAATGTTTTTATATTTCTGTATTGTTTGAATTTTTAACCGTCTGTATTACATATGTAATTTAACAAGTGGTGTGTTTAAGGATATACCTAAAACCCTCAGAAACACAATTCTTGTCACTCAAAAGACTATGATGCTTGCAGAACACTGGAGGGAACTTCTGAAACAGATTCTCACTTCGACTATATTCCCCAGTCCATCAGCTTCACTAAAACTTTTGAGAAATGCAGAGTCTCACACTAACCCTGGGCCTGCTGCATCAAATTCTGCACTTTAACAGATTCAGAGGTGATTACTATGCCCATTAACATCTGATCTAGTGTAGCCAACATTCAGGATTTCGACTGCTGAGGCAGCAGGAAGGACAGCAGAAACTATTTAAGTTCACACAGCTCCTCAGCACCAGAACTAGGGCTTCAGTTCCTATCTTTAGACTCCCAGACCAGGGCTCTTTTCATGCCTCTCCAGCATGTGGTCTTCCTAGAACCTCAACTTATTTTTCTATATTTTATAAGTGAAGACATTCTAGGTCTCAGGGCAACAGAGAAAGTGAATATCAGGTCTCTTAATACAACACAATACAACACAATACTTCTGGGTAAGATAAAGCACTGCAGTCTAAAAGCTGAGTCTACCATCCCTGGATGGAACCCCAAGTCATATTCTAATAGTGTTTGAGAGAAGGCCCAAGTGGATTCAGGGACAAGTAGGGGTAGGAAAGCGCTTCCCAGGTGGCTCAGTGGTAAAGAATCTGCCTGCTGATGCAGGAGACGCAGGAGATGTGGGTTCAGTCCCTGGTTCCAGAAGATCCCCTAGTATTCTTGCCTGGAGAATCCCTTGGACAGAGAAGCCTCGTGGGCTACAGTCCATGGGTTTCCAAAGAGTCAGACATGACGTAACAACTAAACAACAGCAACAAAGGTAGGAAAACTAGCAGGGCCAGTGACATCAGGGCATCTCTGGAAACTCAGGGGCAGGGGAAATGTCCAGGAATCCCTTAGTTATTGGTTCTCATTTGTATAGGTGGTGGAATGAGTCAAGTGCTGGCTGCTGTGTTACATAGAAGGGAATCACCTCCGATTGAGTATTCACTGCTTATACGGATACTAACCAACCAAGCTGTTACCAATTTGAGTTTAGCTTCCTGTACACACTTACCCAGAGTAAATCATCCCAGGCTGTTGGCTTGACTAAAGGAAGAAAGACTGGGTCTGCAGTGTTGGCTGCTCCTATGGATATGAGGTCATCCTCAGACTCGGGTATATCTGACTCAGGAAAAGTCTGAGTCCAGCTCCAACCAGCAGAAGAGCCAGATCACAAGAGGGCCTCCCCAGGGCCACATGTCTGGAGGCAAAGAGTCCTTGCCTGAGACCTTGCAAGATACCTTCAGAGGCCAAAGGTACAGGCTGAGCCAAAGCTACACAAGAAAGGCAAAGTCCCATATGTCAGAAATACTATTCAGAAATGGGCTCCAGTGGAGGGAGAAGCCAGTAGGAAAGAAGGATTGTATGGTTAGTAGCTAAGAGGTAAGTGATAAAGGGTCAACTCTGCCTCCAGCCATGTCTATTTGTGTGACTGTGGGTGAGAGCTTTCTTTTTTCACAGGTATCATATATCAAATCAAGAAATATTATTGCAAGTTAATATATCTTTTTCAAAATAAAGCACTAACTTCTACAAGGAGTTGAATATAAAGTCATTCCCTGCCATGGTCTGCATGTGTCCCCCCACCCCAAATCAATTTGTTGAAATCCTAATTCCAATGGGATGGTATTTGGAAATTGGCCTTTTGGAGGTGGGGGCTTAGGTCATGAGGGGAGACCCCTTATGAATGGGATTAGTGCTCTTGGAAAAGAGACCCCACTAAGCTCACTAGCCCCTAATACCATATGAAGATACAAAGAGAAGTTTGCCACTTGGAAGAGGGCCCTCTGTGACCATGTTTGTACTCTAATCTCAGACTTTCAGCCTCCAGGACTGTGGGATTATATTTCTATTGTTTACAAGCTTGGTATTTTTGTTATAGAAACCCAAAGACTAAGACATTCCCTCTTTGCTGAGATCATTTTTTGGGGGCTAGGATAGGGTGAAGGAACAAGTTGTTTTTGTTGTTTAGTTGCTAAGTCACGATCAACTCTTTGTGACCCCATGGACTACAGCCCACCAGGCTCCTCTGTCCATGGGACTTCCCAGGGAAGAATACTGGAATAGGTTGCCATTTCCTTCTCCAAGGGATCTTCCTAACCCAGGGACTGAACCCAAATCTCCTGAACTGGCAGGCAGATTCTTTCCTGCTGAGCTACCAGGGAAGCCTTATATTTAGGCCTACAGGGGAGCTTACTCAGGGTTTCAGTTAGTGAGTGGCTGAGTGGGATTCAATACAGTCTCATCCCAGAGTCTAAATTCTCAGTCAGAAAGCTGTGACATTTCTTCAGGATGAGGCTCCAGCATCACCTGCTCAAGCCCTCCCTAAGCAGTGTCCCTTTGTCTTTCCTCTACATGTAAGACCTGGTTAAACAGCCCTGTTCTGCCTTCCCTCAGGACTCCAGGCTTTCCTCATAGAACTTTGCGCCCTGTGCTATAAATTGCACAGGAAAATTCTCTGAGGTTAAGGGCTGTGTCATATTCAGCTATGACTACAGCATATAATGAATGCTCAGTAGAGAATATCTGTTGAGTGATATTCTCAGGATATTATATATCTCAGGTTATTATAAATCTACTTTTCTAGATAGGGTGGATTAGCAATCAAACCCATCACATCTTCATTATATGAGTATACATCGCTATAATGTGGGGGCTAGAAAGATAAAAGGTATGTGTCCTAGACTCCCTTGCAGCTAAGCTCTGGACGTGATTTAGGTTTGGCCAATCAGGTGCACAAACATGAACTCTGGAAAGCAGATGTGAAAGGACTAGCTTCTGCTGCCTCTGCAGCTTCAGGGGCAAGCTCAGCTGTGAGGATGCTTGGTTTTTGGTAGCATCCTTGGTGGAGCACACTGTCCTGGGTTGCTTGTTTTGTGGGGATCAGGAGACAGCGGCACCAGGGGTTCATTCTGTTGATGGGTACTGTAGCAGGCATAACCTGGCTCTTCCTGGTCTTAGTTGCCCTGAAGCAGCTTTGGAAGCAAAGTTTCCATTCCATAGAAGGTCCAAGAAGAGATAAAAGGTTCCTGTCTTACCCAGGACTTTGGGCTCATTTCTAAAAGCTTAATCTAAATTCTATTTATTCAGTCCTTCCCTGACCCAGGGATAGAGCCCAGATCTCCTGCATTACAGGCAGATTCTTTACCATTGAGCCACCAGGGAAGGCTTGTCAATAACTCCACTCCAAAGCCATTTAATACTAGAGGTTTCCTATTAGGACATTGCTTCAGCCACTTCACCAGGACAAATACAGTCTCTTAAACAAGATAAAAGGCAGGCCAGTAAATTATAGTGCCTCTGCCCCTCAAGGTCATTCAAGGACTCAGTTTTCTCTTTTCTTGGTGCCCAGTCAGCTCCCTAGAATGCTGCCCTCATCCCATGGTTGTAGTTTTTCACCACAGCCATGCTGTATTCCAGTAAATGGGAAACAGGAAAGAAGAAAAGGAAGGGAAGCAGCTTCCTTTAAATGAAGTGAATGAAAACTTCACACATCCCGTCCATGTACATTCCATTGGCCATAACTTAACCAGAGGACTTCCCCTTGTTGCAAGGGGACTGGCAGTTAAAAGAGTGGATTAGAGGGACCTAAGAGTGAAAATAGTTTTTGCAAGAGTCCAGGTCTTTGGATGCTAAATTTCAGGTTTTTCACTACACCACAATGTGTACTTTTAGGTATTGGGGCTAGGCATTTGCAAACCACATTTTAGGCTAGGCTAGCTAGTGACCCATTAAATTCTGCCAATAGGGGTAGAAGAGGGAGCCTGCACAGCTGGAGGGGTGAGAGGGGACTCCTTCCTGTTTACTTCCTGTCTCCCTGGGGCTCTTGTCTGTGTTACTGAGCAATACTTCTTTACCCTGGCAGCAGGAGTTCCTGTCAGGAGCAAAAGTTGAACCCACTTTGTAGCAACAGTCACAGAAGCAGCCTCACTGTCCCCCTCAGTGATATCAGGCAACCCAAGTCCCTTCCTCAGAGATCTGGCTCCCCAGCCAATAGGACCCCTCCTTCAAGCTCAGAAACACCATCATAAGGAATTACCCCTTCTCACAATCTAAGTTTCAGCTCCATAAGCTCCCTCCCACGCGTTTCTAACTTTTAATAATGCCAACCTCTTACCCAAACACAGTGAAGGTCATGTATGACAAACACAGCTGATGCACTAATCAATGGGGAAAAACTGAAATCTTTCTTCTGAGATCTGGAGCAAGGCAAAGATGCCTACTCTCACCATTGCTATTCAACAGAGTACTGGAAGTCAATCAAGCAAGAAAAAGAAATAAAAGACACCAATCAGAAGGGAAGCAGTATACTTCTCTCAGTTTGCAAATGACATGATGATATATACATACAAAACCCTAACAATTCTACATACAAGCACCTGCCTCCCCCACAACACAAGGAACCTTGAGCAAGATGAACAAAGCTGGATGCATCATACTTTCTGACTTCCAGTTATATCACAAATTTATAGCAATCAAAACAGTATGGTTCTGGAAGGAAAACAGACATGGAGACCAATGGAACAGAATAGAGAACCCAGAAATAAAGTCATGCATTTACAGTCAACTGATCTTCAGCAGTTGGGAAAGGATAGAGATTCTTCAACAAATGGTGGTAGGAAAACTGGATATCTAAATGCAAAAGAAAGAAACTGGCCCCAACTTCACCCCATACACAGATATTTACTTAAAATGGATTAAATTCTTAAACATAGAACTTAACACCCT